GGGGGCCAGCAGGTGGCATGGTGGTTAAGGATGCTGGACTCGCACATGTCGACTGTGGTTCGAGTCCTGGAACTAGCAGCTTCCTTTCTCACTTTCCCTCTCATTCTATCCCTCTCTGGTTAAAATTAAAGTTAAGTAATTCTTTAAAAAAAAAAAAAGATTTTTAGAGAAAACCTAAGTAATTTCTTTTTTTTTTTTATTTTAATTTTTGCCTCCAGGCATGTGCACTTGCTGGAGGGAGACAGAGATAGACAGAGAGAGGAAAAGAGAAATCACCCTCCAGAGCTATGGCCACACCACAATCCCTTCTCTGTTCTCGGGATTCTGGGCAAGAATGCATAGGCACCCAGCATGTTTTTTAAGCCTCTCGGTCTGGGAATTGAACCATGGAGTTAGCTATGTGGGATCCAGTGCCTTAATCATACCACCTGCTGACCCAACCTAAGTAATTATTGGGTTGCTGGAAAAGTCAAGACATATTTTTTTCTATGCAAAAACTTTTATTTATTTTTTAAGGTTTTTGCCGTAGGGCATATGTCCTTTCTGGTGAGAATGAGAGTGTTTGTGAGAAAGGGAGAGAGGAAGAGAGAGAAATCACCCACTTGGGGAGATGGCCATGCTGTAATCCCTTCTCCATTCTCCTTTTGGGGTTTTGGGCACACACATACGATTTTCAAGCTGCTAAGTCCGGGACTCGAACTATGGTTGGCTATGTGGGAATCCAGCACCTCAACCACCCCACCATCTGCTGGCCACAGCCCAAGTTAATTCCTAAGTGAAGCTGCTCAAATCAGATTTTCTGCCAGGTATTTTTTCCATTTTATTTTTTTGTAAACCTCTTTTCCTTAAATTGCTGGTGGCAATGGCCAGTCTACGTTGTTGCTATGTTGAAGGGTTCCCATAAAAACAACCTGGGGATGAAGGTACGAGAAGAAGCCTCTCTTTTTTTCCCTCAGTTAAAAAGGTGTCCTACCTCATCTGCCTCTCCCCTAATTCCATCCAAAATATAAAGAGGTTTTGCAAAGTGGTTAGAGTTGGAAAAGGAGAAAGGATGTTGGTATTCTATCTCCATGACTGTAAGCAAGTGTTCTACAACCTGAATATTAGAATTCATGTTGTAAATAAATATACCACCCCAAAAGTCTTACAGTTCAGAGAAAATATATTACCCCCCCCCAAATCCTCAAAAAGAGATAAATCTCATGACTTAGTAAGAATCCTTGCCAGGACTAGCAGGTGGCATAACAGTAACCGCTGGACACCCACGTAGTCCATCGCAGTTCAAGTCCTGGACCTGTCAGCTTAAAACTCAACACCTGGCGTGTGTGCATGTGTGCCCAATTTCTTGAGAGAATGGAGAAGGGACTGTGGCATGGGCATACCCCTGGGGGATGATTTCTTGCTTTCACTCTGTCTCCAGCGAGTCCCTACACCCTATAGCAAAAACCTCTTTTAAAATAAAGAAGAATCCTTGCCTAAGACTGTTAATCTTCCT